CATCAACGCCCCTTTTCTTTTTTCCCTCTCTCTTCAATCTCTCTCCTTTCTCTCTGTTACATGCCCAGGTGGACAATATACAAACCAAAGATCCGCAACGTGATGATAGGAACTGAATAGACCATGAATTTTGATAAGTACGGTGCACTTTCAGATACGTGACGCGCGTACTATCCGAGGACCTGCATTGTGATGAAAAAGACCAAATGGACAGCATGGTGCGAAATAGAATCTCGACAGCCATGTGTCCCAAGCACAGATACGTGACGTACGTAACAACCTAGGATCTGCAATGCGATGAAAGGACTAAATGGACAATGCGATGTGAGTGGAATCTCGCCAAGCAATGTGCATTTTCAGATACGTGACGTGCCGATTAGCGCAGGGAAGTCTTAGATACAAGACTGACCTGACCGGAACTGACCTCCTTCACGTAGTACAATACAGCACATCAGAATGCTAAGTACCAATGACTAGCCCGATCAATGTCGCGGTACAGACCAATCACACATCATCCTTGTCACAAGGTGTGAAGGGGCCCGACACTACACACAGGAAGAATGTGCCAGGTCCAGTCTATACACAGACGATGAGGAGGGGAGCAGATGAAGAAGAAAGGAATACATGGGAATGTCGCCGACACTGGGTCTTTGTTATAAGTCCCAGATAATCCCTCGTCAACTGCCTAAAGTCCAATGTCGAGTCTGGATCCAAATGTCACCAAGCCCGTCGTCACTACTCTCCCTCTCTCGCTCTCGCTTTCTCCATTTCTCCTTCTTCATCCTCTCTCTCCTCCTTCTCCCCCTTTCTGCTTTACATACATAGTCTGCATACATTTGAGAGGTCAGATGGTGAGGGGTGAGGAAGAGATGAGACTTTAGAAGAGGAAGAAGAAGAACTCTCTTTCATTCCCACACATGCACACACCCACACACCCACACACCCACACACATATGAATATACACGTGATATAGAGGTAGGTTCACCCTGTCTAACTTGGGAAGTAAGCCATGAAGTAGGCGACTTACCAATTTTATTTCTTTATCATTCCTTCTTCGCCACTATCGTAGTCGTCGTAGTTGTCGTAACTATCGTAGTTAAGGTTGCAAGAAGTCCCGCTCAATCGGCCGACGGGGGAAACGACTCTCCCGCTCCTCATAAAATGGAAACCACTCAAAATGTTTCGCAGAGCGCCCCCTCGGTTCCCAAGTACAGTGTTACGACACCACGATCAGCATGCTACCGTCGTCGACCGCAAGGGAGGTAAGCCGTTCTCACCTTCTTCTCCTCTTTCCTTTCCTTCTTCGACTTCCTCTTCTCCTTCCCTCTTTCGTGCGACCTCCTACGCCTTATCCACGTTCCTCTTCCTTCTTCCTTACGAGTGGTTTCTCCTAGCCTTCTCAAGTTCCACCCATCGCCTATCCGTGCTCTCTCGGCTATCGCGTGGCCGATTCCCGATCTCGCTTTCTGCGCGATCTCGTAGTGGCTCGCCCTTCTCTCCAACGAAGGGGACCCTGTGCTATAGGCAGATGCGGCACGGCCAGGCCTCCTTCCCTTCTTTGGTTAAATCAGTCCGGTTTCCGGGTTCAGGTTCACTCGTGCGAATCAGAAAAAAATAGAAGTTACGGGTAGAGAGAAAATAAATATTAATTAAATGAAAGAAAACCAATCTAACAAGTCCTATCACTAACTACCAAGCATCTCGTTTCAACGAGACAACTACAACTACTAACTCTGATAGAGGTCACGGGTTCGAGTCCCGACCGTTCAAAACCCAGGCAAAACAAAACGTAGCACCCTGCAAAAAGGGAACTAGCTCGGAGGGCGGCGGGCCTTGATCCCCAGATCCCCCGCATATCAATCTACATTGAAACCTACTGAGCTAGCTCCCACTACGGGTAGAAGGGGAGTAGCTCTAGTATATATAAAGTAACGTGACTCAGTCCAACCAATGGCCTGAGCCCATTCTAGCCTGCGCGAGTGTGCACGCTTGCTAATCTGCATGCCTATCTGAATGCCCGTCGCCTTGACCCACAAGGGCACGTATTTCATCGGAAGGCCCGAAGGGCCGGTACTTAGATGTGGCTGCGGCATCGAGGGTCGCGGCGGGGTAAACACTCAAGTGGCGGGTAGGCCGGTACCACACCAAGTAGAGGTAGATGTGACGGGTACTCGACTCGGAGGCCGAAAAGTTGAAAATTTTTAAACCCCTGGTACTGACAGATAGACACGTACCAGACCAAGTCTCAGTGCGTGTCGTAGATCTACCTGACACAACATCAACCCAAATGACCCTTCGACCTCTCTTGTCGAGAGGTATTACTACTGATCCTAATCACCACGGCGCGCGTCATAATAACGCGCGCACATACTTAACGAAATTTTCTCACCGATTTTGTCACGGCCTCAGTGGCCGAGGAATTCGCTTCCAGTGTCACGCCAAGCATGCACACCCCCTTCATTCCAGACTGGCTACGTCATGGTAGCCGACACCGCCACCGTGTCGAATGCAAAGACATGGCAAAATAACCTTGTAAGGGTATTTTGTCCGACAGTATCCCAGACCTCATTAAGCAACGTCCCCGTCGCTCGGAGAACTATATGCAAACAATAGAAGGATTTCGACAAGCAATTCGTCAAATCCGAACCCTGGGGTGAGATGTGGTTTAGGATTAACGTTGTCACCTCACTTTTCATTACTACTGCCGAGATTTCAACCCGGGTCTCCCACATTATAAAATAACTGGCTGACTCGACGTGGGGATACTAGATCTGTACTACATTATATGAAATAGCTAAGTATGACAACGCACCTTTCCTTTCCCCACACCCTTAGACTTTGGATCCAGGTATTCGTTGGTTGTTTTCGGGGCTGGTGTTCGCGTACGAACTCATCCCGTCAAACGCGGGTCTTGACCGAGACCTTGGTCGTTCAACTCTTGATATTATTTGTTCGAAGTTGCCTGCTGTCCTGCCCGAAGCCTAATATAGGAGGACAATGGTCTCCATCTCGATCCACCACAGTCCTGCTGATCAGGCGGGAGTTGCGGCCCACCGCGTTGTTGCTTATCGGTGGTTACCCTCGTTGGTTGCACAAAGATGGGTTAGTCATCCTATGAATTTCAAACTAATCTCGACCCCTTCGACACCCACCTGAATAGGTTCCTTCACTGGGGTGGTCATCCCCTCTAGCCCCTATTCCAAGCCATAGTTGAAGGGTCCGCTGCCTGGTTATGCTAGGTCAGCAGCCCACGTTGGGAGTTACGTCCCAACGATGCCAATTTTCCACCATAGGCTTGGTAGTTTTATGCTCTCAGGTTAACCCTTGAGGTGGATGAACGATGCTTTAAATAAAACAAATAAATGATAATTGTTAATAATTGAGCATTCGTCAGGTTGCCACTCAGGGTTGTGCCCTCCAAGTCTTCGATCATAGCTCGATGAGACATGCGTCTCGGGGTCATTTTGTATATATATATATGTATATATATATAGACCATTATTTTTAAGATAAACATTTGTTGACTCTTTGCTTGTCAGAATCCACGAAGAAAACATTACTTGTATGAAGATTGCAAAAAAAATTCATTAAAAAAATTGATAAGACTCAAAGGAGTCTATCCATGTCGTAGCATGGTCTCAAACATGAAATGTACAATCAATCCAGCCTTTGAAGTTTCACAAGCACTCATCAAACTTTCACATGAAATACAGATCCGCCCGTTCCTCTATCACCTCTTTAGATCTCAACAGAGTCTAGTAGTGATAGACGAAGGGAGATCTTAGGTTACCAGAGACTCAACAAAAAACAAAGGCTCACACAAAATGTGACAAGTGCGTCGTGTTCACCAACTCATCCCCCTGAAAGATATATAAATACAAAATATATTACAGAGTCAGATTGCCACTCACCTCTACTATCCCTCAAATACTTCACATGCTAAGTTTCTTTATCTGAATGAAGAAGCAACACAACATGTCTCACACTTTTCCTCTGTCTTACTGAAGGAGAAAACGCATACTACCTGCTCTAAATTATCACTTCTCCCTCTCATAACTATTTTACAAGCCAATATAAGTCATGATTTATTTAGAAACATCTACCTATTCCTACCTAGAAATCAATTGGCGGTCTCAGTATCCTGTAGAGTGCTACTCTGCCTCCCTCGGGTATCCTGGGAATGATCTGCCCTGTGCAGGCCACCAACCTCTTATGACTATCATATCTGGTCTTTCCTTCCTTGATATAAACTGCCAGAATGGAACACTCATCCCTGAGATGCCCTTCCTAAGTGCAGAAGAAACACCTCTTTCCAGCCATACTAGGCTTGATCTTCTTTATGTCGGGCTGGGTTGAAGTCTCATCCTGATCTTCAGTTCCTTCTAGTGAACCCAATTCAGATCCTTTTTGCATTTTGTTCTATCTTGGCAGAGATACTACCACACTCTCACTTATCCCCTTTTCTGGTGCCGGAGGCTCATCTCTTTTCTCCTCAGTCTGTACACGCTTCTCTTCACCCTCCTTTCTCTCCACCATCTCTGTGGTTCCCTTTTCTTTCCCCTGATGGTTCAATCTGAGTTCCTTTATTCCTTTCTATATCTCTCCCCATTTTTTCTCCCACTCCTGTCCCAACTTCTTTCTTTCTGATATTTCATTGTCCAGCTCCAGTCCTAGCACACTGGTCTGAGAGCCCAGACCATCCACCTTTATTTTCATTCTTCCTCTTGTGGCCACTCCATTCTCCAATTTTCTGCCGTTCACAGTCAGGGCGGCCCTTAATTGGCTCACTTCTTTCTGCAATTCCTTATTCTCTTTCTTCAATTCCTTCATTTCCTTCCTCATTTCTTCCATATCTCTTATCAATTTTTTCACCTGGCATCCTTCTCATCTTCCTTCTTTCTTATCCCGCTCATCTCTTCCCTTTCTCTGTCTCCAATCGGCCTCTCTTCCTCAGTTCTTTTGACCCTTGAAGTCTTGCCTCCTTCCTGGATCCTCTTTCCTTCTCCAGCCTCCTTTACTACTCCCTCATTTTCACTCCTCCTTTCCTGTACCTCTTCCCTTCCACTCTCAATCGGCCTTTTCTTTCAAAGTTTTCTCTTCCTTGGTATCACACTTGCCCCCATGCGTCTCTTCCTCCCTTCTGCTGCCTCCTCCTCTTTTTGTTCATCTTCCTCTGCTTGGTCAGACCCTTTGCAGCTGCTCTTGGGAGAGACCCTCGTCTTGTTCTTCAATCTTTTCAGAGGCACATTATCCTCTTCTTCATCCTCTGCCCCTTTTCCCTGTGGCTCAACCATCTCTCTTCCAATCCATAACCCCCTCTCTTGCAGCCTTTCCTTTCTTGTCTGATCCTGCCTGGCCTGGGTGTAGGTCATCCACAATTCTGCTGTTATTCTTTTCCAGGTCCGACTCCCTTCCACAGTTCTTTTTACTTCCTCCTTTTCACTCCTTTCTGATCTTGCGATCAACTGTTTCTTCTTTTCCTCCTCGTTCCATTCGCCTCTCTCGGCGGTCAGCTGCAAGTTGTCGATAAAGTCCTCCAAATTGGTCTCATCAAACCTCAAGTCATCTTCCACATCGTCCCTTGGGAAGTCCCCCATGTCCTTCCATAATCTCAGCTTGCATTCTCTCCACCTCGTGCACCCTGCCACCACGCCTTCAATCCTTCTCTTGTACATTTCTGCTCCAGTCGCATTCGTAATTTTCTCCCTGTCACCCATTCTTTCCTGAATGCATACTCCTTAAGGTCTCGCAGGAATACTCGCAGGCTGTCTCTAGCCCTGTAAATGGGCAGCTCCTCCAGGTTCCTTAAGACTTTCTGATCCCTCCTCTGCCCGCCCTTTCTCAAGGTAGGTCCAGAGGGCCCTACCACCGCTCCTCTTTGCGCCATGGCCTCTTCTTTTCAAGGGTCACGCCTGCACACAGAGAAGGAGCAAATGACATGTACAAGGATCAGATCATCATCAAGACAACACCTTTCATTAAACATAAGCTTGACAATGCTCCTTTTATCTGGTACTCTCATGCACGCACAGGTACACATATACATATATATATGCCTATATATATACATATACTTGCGTGTGCATACACACGTACATTCCACTATACCTTTCATATTCATGCATGTGTACATATACACACATATATGTATATATATATATGTATTTTCATATGTATGAGTATTTACTTAGGCATTTGGGTACATACCTGCATAGGTACCGATACATACATATATGTATAATCACTCCCCAGTCTACTCAGACTTTTTGCATCATAGTTAGGCTCACCTCTCCTCTGATTTGGAACTTCTTCAGTCTGGACCCTGAAACCCAGTATTTCTCTGGAGTCCCATCCATCTCTTCTAGCTCATATGCCCCATTGAGTCCCTGCTTCTTGACTCTGAATGGTCTAAGCCAACGTTTATCCTGTTTCCGCGACCACTGCATTTCCAGGGAGGAATCGTAGAGTAGTACTGTCTCGCCAACTTGTAGAGGTTCGAGTCTCACTCTAGGTAGCTTGTCCCACCTTTCCTTATCCTTCCCCCTGCTTTCTGCAACGTTCATGGTCGTTTCGTGCATCCTTTCTTCAGTGGCTCTGATCTGCCTTGCCCTTAGATCTAGCAGTTCCTCCAAAGTCAAGTTGTTTTCCAGGTCCTGCCTTCGCCAAGTTTTCAGGAAGCTTTCAATCGGAAATGTGGCGTGGCGACTATACCAGAGTGTCGCAGGTGTATACCCGGTCGTCCTTTTTACAGTGATGTTCTTCACAAAGAACACTGTTCTTAGGAATTCCCATTGACCCATTTGGCCAGTAAGTTAGCAATTGTGCTATGGCCTCTCTCGACCGGTGCATTAGCTTGTGGATGAGCCCGAGTCGTATAGTTACCTATGACCCCCAATTCCTTGAGCAGCTCCTTCACTTCCCCATACGTGAACTCAGACCCCTGTCCATCGTGAATTCCAATACGAACGGATATCTGAGATAATACTCTTTAATACAATCCGTCAACGTTGTCCCGGTTTTGTTCCTGATTGCTCTGCCATCAACGAATCCAGTAAGGTTGTCCCTTGTGTCAAATATATAGTTGTATCCTCCAAGTCCCAATGGCATAGCTAACAGATCTAAGTGAACAACTGCCCCTACTTCCTTGATATATCTAGGATGCAGAGGTTCCTTGTACCTGATAGGCGATCGAATTTGACAGGGCACACACGACTCACAGTATTTTCGTGTCATCTCAAACATTCCTTCCCAGTAGTAGAGTTCCATTGCCTTTTTGTAAGTAGCCGCGAAACTCTGATGTCCTTCAACTATCCCATCATGCAATGCGGCTATTACATCAATCTGGCGATTCCTCCCACATACGACACGTCGCGGCGGCATCCTCTTGTCCCTGATGAACAAATGGCCACCTCTAGCAACCCCATTTCTAAATAGAACCCATCGTACTCTTCCTCCCTGAATTCCTCTGAGATCTCCTCTTGTTCAAATTCTCCTTCATTCTCTTCATCAAATTCGTAGTCATTCCCAATAACTATCTCATCAGCCTTTACCATTCCTCTCTCATCATTTGCTTGGACTTGTAATAACGAATTTGTTAGGTAGTACATTCTTCCCATCATGGTTACCTGCTCGTCTGCCTGTTGGACTCCTGCTTCGATCGTTCGCGGCTCATCCATTATCCTATAGTTCTCTGCCAGAGCCAACTCCATTATCCACTCCGTATTTCTCTCGCCCAAAGAGTCCTCTTCCTCTAATGGTGTGAGTATCAGGGAAGACTCTCTCATAAATTCCGGAGGTGGATGCCACATTGAATTTTCTCTCCTCATCTCCTTGCTTTCGACAAACATGAACCAGGAGTTCACATGAGTTCGCATGTCTTCCCCTTCTTCCAAAAATCCGTCTACCGGAGACGTTTCTTCATTAGATTCTCCCTGGTTTCCCCACTCAATTCTGCTCATGTCGTCCGCCCTGTTCTTGTTCCCAGGGATCCGTTATAACTGGAAGTCGAACATCCAGATATAGGTGAGCCATCTGGCTATGGTCGGATCTGAGGGCGAGAAGTTCTTGAGCGAGTACACAAGTGCCGTTGGATCGATCCTGAGTACAAACCTCCTCCCAAAGAGATAATGCCTAAAGATTTTTAGGCAATGCAGGACCGCCAAGGCTTCCCTTTTAAACTGTGAGTAGTTCCTTTCTGTCGAGTTGAGTGTCCGACTTTCAAACCTCAGCGGCCTCTCCTTTCCCTCACTGTCTGCCTGAATCAAGATTCCTCCCAGGGCGGTTGGCCCAGCGTCAGTTTCAAATATGAAGGGTCTTTCCATAATCGCATCAAAGTCTGGTACCCCCAGTACCAGACCTCCTTCTCTGAATTCCTTCCTCAATTCCTCCACCACTTCTTCTTTATGGTTTCCCCATTCCCATTCCTGATCTTTCCGAACTAGCTTCCTCAGATGCTCTGTTTTGCTAGCGAAACTTTCTATGAATCACCTCCTGAACCCACAGGTACCAAGGAAACTTCGAACTTCACCCACATTTCTGAAGGGCGTGGGCCATTCCAGGACTTTGTTAGTCTTCTGCTTATCAAGGCGTCGACCATGTTCGTTGCAAATGTATCCCAGAATGGTTACCTCCTTTACACAATGTCTCGACTTCACTCCACTGGCGGTGAGGTTGTATTCTTCTAGTAGCGATATGACTTCTCTCAATCCCTGAACATGCTCCCATACAAACCTTCTTACCCCTGGAGCCACCTCCGACTCATCCTTCTTAATCGGGCCCTTAACTGCAAGATCATCTATGTATGGTTCGGTGATCTGAGGGCTGATTAGCTGGATAATCTTGATCATGCTTCTTTGCACCATGGCCACAGCATTGGTCCATCCTTGCGGTGCTACATTCATATGGACCAATCCCCTTGGCGTGTGCATCGCCGTGATGGGACGGTCTGTCGGATAGACTGAAAACTGATCATATCCAAAGTAGAGGTCGATGAGGGACACAATCGACCTACCTGCACAAGCTTCTGACAACTGGTCAGCGTTAGGCAAACCTCTTGCATCCCTTACAGTTACCTCGTTCAGTCGTTGGAGGTCTTGCACTCATCTGAGTACTCCATTTGGCTTTACAAAACAGAACCAGCGAGAGGTATACGGTTCACTGGAGTACCCTGCCACATCCGGACGGATTTTTCCATCTAGGTACTCTACCACCTTTCTACGATCCTCGGGGTTGGGGTACTTAGTCCCTCGGACATTCCATGGTTCATGAGGCACCGTATGAATGCAGATCATTTCGATCTTGTCCACATCCAACCTCCCACGTTGATCATCGTTGAAGGCATATGCCCCATGTTTTTCACGTATCAGCTCCTTCACCAAGTCCCTCTCTTGTCTTGTCAGAAACCCAAGTTCCCCTATTATCAGTTATTTCTCAGTTTCATTGTTGATACGACAGGGCCCATTCTGGATGTCTTCCCTCATTCGCTGTATCAATTATCTTTCCTGATCATAATACACTCTTTCTTCTTGACTCACTAGAACTGGCACAGGGTGACTCTTCTTATCTACCGTTTTGTACCTCCTTTTGGAGCCCTACTTGAGCCCACCCCTAAAAAATGATGACAGACAGCTTGAGCATTCGGCACATGCGGCACTATTATCTGAGAAGAAGGAGGTGGTCGGTAAACGAGATCGACCCTTCCCCCTTCTGGATCGTCTTGGATCCTTTCTGCGAGCGCCCTGACTGCGTCCGGATCAGCCATCCTATAGGCCGATACCAGTTTCACCGCATCACTGATATTAGTTAGGCTCAGTACTAGCCCTTTAGCTTCCTTATCATCTGATTTTTCTTCTCCTTCTTCCCATTCCAGTTCTCTCCTCCTATTCTCTGATTCCTCGAACGTGTAGGATCCGGCATTGGGCCTGTTCTTCGAGATGTGCGGGCCTGTGTTCCTATAGGTGATAACCTCGAAGTTTCCACAGGCAGGATCGCACAAGATGACGAACATGATGCCGTCGTGCTTGTTCATAATGAGCGACTCGGATCTGCACAGGAATGACCTGCCCAATAATATTAGGAGATCCAAGCTGGGCATGACGTAGAAACACGTACGTATCTTGACTTTTCCTATCTCTATCACCACATTCGACACAACCCCCATGTACCCGGTCTTGCCGCTGGCTCTATTGAGAAAACCGCAGTCGTTTTCATCTACCTCCAGTCCTAGTTTTACCACCGTTTCTCCATTTATAATGTTCATTTCTACCCCGGTGTCGACCATCCCATAGCACATCTTCCTCTTTATCATAACATCAATGGACCCTGTTCCCACAAACTTCCAGTCCATTTTGCTTCTTGCCATGCTTCAGTTTGCCTCCTTGGGAATCAGGTCCCCCATCCTGACCGAGACCACTCTCCGGCGTGATAACCTTGCCTTCACCATTTCTCTTAACTTAGGAGCCGACGATATAATTTCCTTCAGATTTAGCAATTCGTTGTGACCTTCTAATAACTTGTTTACTAGACCTTCCAGGTCTACCCCTTCTTCGATCGACGTCTGGTACTTTCTCTTTTTGCTTGGCGCCTCATCCTTTTTGAATCTTCCATCCTTAACTTTACCTTTCCTTCTCTTAGCCCTGATTTCCGCCTGCCTCTCTTCTTCCTCCGTAATCTTCTCATCCTCGTCTTCGTCACCCTCTACCATGATAGGTGGTTCTTCCTCTGCAGGCTGGGAAGTCTGGGCTTGCTCCTTTGGAGGATTCTCTCTTGCGGGTCTTCTTGTAGCGAATGAAATCGTTCCTCTTACGCTTCTTTGACCCCCACTATTCTTTGCGGCCATGTTGACCCTCAACATTCTTTGGTTGGGCTCATTCGGCCGATCTCCCGATCCTCCACGTCCCATGGTAAACACTTTCGGGCATCCAGCCCCTTCTTTCCCCGCTTCTTCACATATCCCTTGAAGCCTTAAATGCAGTCTTTGCATCTTATTCACTAAGTCCTCCATCCTATCAAACGCGTCCTTGACGTTAATCCTAACGTCATCCTCTTCTGCTTCTTCTTCCACAAGGGGTACGTCTTTCTTGCTTTCTTCAATCCCCATCCTGCTCAGTTTTTCTTCCAGTTCAGTTACATCTTCCACCCATATGACTGATCCTTCATTTTCTTGCCACATTCTGAACATTCCCCGGGCGTTGGGACCTAGCGCGGCTATGCAAAGGGCCTCTTCTCTAGTGCCTCCCGGAATCTCAGGATCGATCGACCTTCCTGTTCTGTCAAATACCTCGCTATCTATGTTTGATGTTATGAGTCCATCGCGCTCGTCAAGCTTCCTGACGTGACATCATTTTACCGTATGCCCTTTATTCCCACAATGGGTACAAGTACATTCACTGTAATCTATCCATCCTCTGTCATAACCCTGTCCGTTCCATGACCCATTTCCTCTACCAACCCCCCTTCCATAGCCTTGGTCGTAACCACGACCATATCCTTGCTGATATTCTTGCCCCACCGGATTCGCACCCCCTTGGAGTTGACCCCAGTTTCCACCTTGATACCCACTTCCTCTATTTCCTGGTCCTCGTTCCCCTGGTCCCTTATTTCTACCAGCATTCCTACCTCTTCCACGTCCTTGTCCTTGTCCTTGCCCTTGAGACCTGTTCTGGTTTTGTCCTCTTTGGCGACTCGATCCTGGTTGGTTTTGCCCTGTTATTTGGAGTTGTCCTGTGTTTTGGTCTCCTCCCAAATTCTGATTCTGGGGTAACATAGGATATGGACCCTGCGTAGGCCATGACCCTATCGGGAAGTACCCAGGCCATGCTCCCATCGGCGGACCCACGGGCCATTGACCATATCGTGCTGTGTTCGTTGACGGCTCTTGTCCATACTGGACTATCGCTTGTTGAGTTATCTGCCCTTTTCCCGAGCCTTGTCCTCCGATAGCGAGATTCTTAGCCTTTCTTTGACACTTTGTTAATTTGACCGCTTCTTCCGGTTCTCATCCTTCGACCTCTTCCTCTCCATCTTCCTCGTCATTCATTCTCTTTCCTGATGGTTGTGTCACTGTTAACACTTTCGATGGTGTCACTCTTTCCCTAAGCTCTTTTATCTCATTTGCAATATTGCTCAATACTCCTCCAAGTACACTATTCGTTCCTTGGATCGTCCCTACTGCCCTTCTTTTCTTCCGTTCGACCTTGATTTGCTGATGGAACACTTGGTCCATGTCTCCCGCCGCGATGTTCCTCTTTATGGTTTCCCAGGTTGTCTTCCTCCCGGCAGCTCCCCCTCGGGTTAACTCCATCGCCTCATACCCAGAGAATTTCCCTAGGAATATGACGCACTACATCTCTTCAGACAGTCCCGGGACCCTCTCGAATGTCTTTTCGAATAAGTTGGCGAATACCTTGATCGTGGTGAAGTCATCTTTGTTCATGTTATAGAGATGGTCAATCGTGAGCAAACCATCTCCTAGCTTAAACGTTTTTGCATGCCCTTTTTAAACTCAACCCAATCATTGTTGGACACTCTCACTACCTCTTTTACGTCAGAGGTGCACTCCCACTATACGTACTCGAACAACTGGGCAAACTTCTCGGCCGGTGTCTATTGGTTGAAGATTTGCTCAAGTAGTTCTAACCAATGAGTCACTCTATCCCCCTTGAAAGGGAACATGTCTATTCTCGGTAGGTT